TAAATTTGTACAATATTACAGCAGAGCAACAAATATTTTACAGTTTAGCTTTCACCTGTACATTGAAAAACACTAGATTTATAAAAGTATACGCATTGTTTAGTAAACAGGCTTAAAAGTATTCAGATGAAATCCTAGAATATTTCAAAATTTAAGAACATTGACCAATACACATTTGAGACCCCATATAGCAGGAGTTTAAGTCTTGTTTTATCATTGAAATTATTAGCTCTAAAAGCAGCCATAGCATAAGAATATATATACAATATATATATACACAAGCACATTTGAATCTCACCTTCTTGCTAGACCTAGTGGAATATTTTTATTTAAACAAGAGAACTATAACATTAAAAAAAAAAAAAATCTTTCAATAGCCACTACTCACAAACTAACACTATTCTCTTTAAGGGAGAAAACTGTGCTGAGAACAAAAAAAGAAACTAATGAAAATAAATTATTAAAAGATAGGCTTAGTTTGACATTTATAAATTCCAACAATACATTAGTATACTAGCACATAGAACAACAGATTATTTTTGAAAAAAAGAATGCTCATTCCCTACGGCAAACTTCCCCATTTAAAGTACAAGGATAACCAATGCCCATACTCTGCATTTCCTGCATCCCATCCTCTCTTCAAAAAAGCTAAGGATTAATTTTTAATAGCTTACCTGTATTAGTAATATCATACATCATTAGAAGTATCCATTACCAGAAACTGACAAGTCTAAAATTAATAAATTATTAATTTTTTAACACAATTTATCTGAAGGAGTTTATTTGTATTTTCAAACAGAAAGGTAGTCTATGGCTGAAAAATTATTCCTAATAAGAAAAAAACCAAGGAAATGGAATACCATATCACTACTAATACCAATGTACTTGTAATAAATAAGCCTATGGCCACAAAATTACCTGCAGTGTTTCATCTTTTGGAGATTTAGAACGCCTCTTTCTTGGAGTTGATTGGAGAGGATATTCAAATCTGGAAGAAATATTTAAAAAGTAAGACAACCATTTTTTGTCAAATAGCTGAGGACTAAATTCCCATTATTAAGATACATGACCTAGCAATAGTTGTCCATTCCCAACAATACACACATATCATTTTTAAAGGCTTTAACTACATATCAAAATACTTCTAAATTTTCCCCTAAAAATGACTACCCTTGAAACAATATCAGAATGATCTCTCTAGACAATTCTATCTTTATTGGTTTAGCTTAATGTAATATAAAAGTGATAAGATATCTTTAAGCAATCCTGCCTTCTGAAGAAGGTCTATAAGACATTGTAAAGAAATATGAAATAAACTAGATTAACTTCTGTTTCTGAAGATGGTAAAAGGACATTTTAATTTTTCCCATTTATCTACAGCCATCATCCAGCAGTAAGGGCCTGTGTCCACAAAGCTCTCTGCATTGTTTGCCCGCAGAACACATTCTAGGATCGAGACATTAACAGTTTGTCATTGGCACTTACCTGAAAGAACGATCAATAATAGTTAACACATCTCCATGCTTCAGAGGTACAGGTTGCTGAAAACAGCCACCATTCAGCTGCGTAGGATTTACTGTACTTAAATTAGTCAATATTGCCTAAAAATAAAACAAACATTTCAGTAGCCTGATGAGATGCAATGTTGCCATGCATATGTCATTAAAATATGCATATCTTACCTCCTTGTTTTCATTTACTTCAATTTTACAATGTTCTTTCGAGACCTGAGGCAACTGGATGCGAATATCACATTCTGTTCTCCTGTGGGTGAAAATACAGTTTGAGTTTCAAGACACACAGAAGACAGAAAAATCTGACTGCTATAGAATTAGGTGATTTCCCAACTTTTCAGCTAACAATTGTACAGTAGCATGATACTTTCTTAAATTTGGTAACATGAAGAAAATGAACTACCTAAGTCTTTCAACTGTGCCAAAAAAATAACAGGAGCTCACACTTCTACATCAGAGAATCCATATCAGAAAAAATACGTAAAACATGTAAATTCTGAAAAAAGCAGTTCACAACAAGCCGAAAGAGGCATGTCTACAACAGATATCTGGTGGTTTGAGATTACTTGTTTCCTGACTTGCAAGTTGCCGAAGACTTTTGCAATACTTTTAGAAAATACCAGCATGTGCTCTTAAGCTTGCTCTTAGGCA